CTGGTGTGTGAAGTAACCCGGTTAAACCATGCTGTGCTTCTGTTCTGTCCTATTGTCTCTGGAAAACCATCTAAATTTGCTTTATAAACATGTATAAGCCATTCTGTATAAGTGCATGGCTAAGAAGATCATTGTTCTGTTAAGTTTTTTCTTTTTACTTTTTTTTTTTTTGAGGACAGAGATCTTTCGTCTGGTCGCCCAAGCTGGAGTGCATGTGGCGCGATCTCAGCTCACTGCAAGCCATCTCCCGGTTCACGCCACTCTCCATGCCCTCAACCTCCCCAGTAGCTGGCACTACAGGCACCCGCACCACACCCGGTAATTTTTTTTTTTTGTTATTTTTAGTAGAGACGGGTTTCACCGTGTTAGCCAGGGATTGGTCTCGATCTCCTGACCTCGTGATCCACCCACCTCGGCCTCCCAAAGTGCTGATTACAGGCGTGAGCACTACACCCGGCCCTGTTTGTTTTTTCTTAGAGACAGGGTTTCACGCCAGGCTGGAGTGCAGTGGTACAATCTCGGCTCACTGTGGCCTCCTAGGCTCAAGCCATCCTCCCACCTCAACCTCCGGAGTAGCTGAGACTACAGGCTCGTGCCACAGTGCTTGACTGATTTATTTTTGCAGAGATGGGGTCTCCCTATGTTGCCCAGGCTGGTCTGGGAACTCCTGGGCTCAAGCGATCCTCCCACCTTAGCCTTCCAAAATGCTGAGATTACTGTTGAGAACCACCATTCCCAGCTCATTGTTTTATTTTGAAAGAACATTAATACAAATGATGGCCGGGCACGATGGCTCACATCTGTAATCCCAGCACTTTGGGAGGCTGAGGTGGGAGGATTGCTTGAGCTCAGGAGTTCAACACCAGCCTGGGCAACATGATGAAACCCCATCTCTACAGAATACAGAAAAAAAAAAAAAAAATTAGCTGGGCGTGGTAGCTCACGCCTGTATCCCAGCAGCTCGGGAGACTGAAATGGGAGGATCACTTGAGCCTGAGAAGGTCAAGGCTGCAGTGAGATCATGCCACTGCCGTCCAGCCTAGGTAACAGAGTGAGATCATGCCACTGCCGTCCAGCCTAGAGTGAGACCCTGCCTCAAATTAAAAAAAAAAGATTATATAGATATCTGCCACTAAGTGTTTATTCTGTGCCAGCCAGATCCTGGGCATTTTACCTGGAATACCTTAACTAGTTGCTTTCTTTCTTTCTTTTTTTTTTTTTTTTTGAGACGGAGTCTCACTCTGTCGCCCAGGCTAGAGTGCAGTGGCGCGATCTTGGTTCACTGCAAGTTCTGCCTCCCAGGTTCATGTCATTCTCCTGCCTCAGTCTCCTGAGTAGCTGGGACTACAGGTGTCCGCCACTACGCCCGGCTAATTTTTTGTATTTTTAGTAGAGCTGGGGTTTCACCATGTTAGCCAGGATGGTCTCGATCTCCTGACCTCGTGATCCGCCCGTCTCGGCCTCCCAAAGTGCTAGGATTACAGGCGTGAGCCACCGCGCCCGGCACCTTAACTAGTTTCTAAACTCCAGAAATATTAGTGTTCTCAGGCTTTCAGAAGACAGCCATGGTATAACACGAGGTGCTCGGTAAATGCATGGTAATGTGGTCGGCTTGCTGTTTTCACTCAGGCCTGGTGACTTCCTCACCTGTGCGGGGTCTGCCCATTTTAACGCACTTGCAACATGCATTCCTGGACAGTAGGTGGCGCCATGGAACCACCTACCGTTCCCACCGCACACCTTCATTTGTGGCAGCCCGTTTTTAGTGGATGAGGGGAGTCTATCGGTTGATAAAAAAGACGGTGAGACTTTTAAAGCATATCCATTGCCAGTGATAACGAGGAGACGTAAGCAGGAAAGAAGGCAAAATGATCCAATATGCCAGTGGTCAGGAAACGTGTCTCAGGAGGTGGCACAGAAACTGGCAGGTCCTTGGCATGCCCCTGGCTGGGGCCCGCGTGCACCAGGCTAAGAGAGCTGTGGACTGAAGAGAAGCAGGTGTTAGACGTGCAGACAATTCCCGGGCAGGAGCTGGAGGCTGAGGAAAAAGGCAGCTTGCGACATGCTGGAGTTTTCTCTAGGAGCAAGCTGTGTGTGTCTTGAGAGCATTGCTTCGTTACTATAACCACATTGACAAATGTCAAGTTGGCTAATAAATCGTACTTGGTAGAATAAAGAGGACATTTCTCAGTGCACGATCCTGTTTCTTCCACAATTGCAGTCTCCTCTCCATGGTGCCTTCGCTGAGGCCATCTGTGCTTTCCCGGAGCTCTGTGTCACCTCTCCTGCTAGTCATCCTTAGCCATCAACAGCATGAAGCTGTCCAGGGGTAACCAGTGAGTTCAGCTCAAAACAGGGGAATGCCAGAGTGCTGTCAGCATGAGTGGGGAGAAACATGTAATTCAAGAATGTAAAAGGGCACGTAGTTCAAAGCCTCTCAATCGGTAAAGGAGGCAAATCATCGGCAGAAATAGGGTCAGAACCCGGGAAGATTTTGCCTTAGTCGAACCATCACTTTATTTCTGCACTTACAATGCTGGTCTCAAGGAATCGAATTGATGCTAGTTCATTTCTTCTATGATCTATTAAACTGATCAAAAAGAGCCTTTTGCAGGCCTGTTTTTAGACTTGTAATTGACACTTGCTGAAATCTTTCATCTCAATGCCCACCAGTATGTCCCTGATCACTAGTGTACAAAACTGTGTCACAAAGAATCTATTTGGGCCAGGCATGGTAGCTCATACCTGTAATCCCAACACTCTGGGATGACAAGGGGAGAGGATCGCTTGAGCCCAGGAGTTCAAGACCAATCTGGGCAACATGGTGAAACCCTGTCTCTACCAAAAACTTAAAAATTAGTTGTTGGTGGTGGACGCCTGTAGTCCCAGCTACTCAGGAGACTGAGGTGGGAAGATGGTTTGAGCCCAGGAGGCGGAGGTTGCAGTGAGCCAAGATCACACCACTGCACTCCAGCCTGGGAAACAGAGCCAGACCCTGCCTCAAAAAAACAGAAAAACTGGCCAGCGATGCATGCACCTTAGCCAAAGAGAATCACATGAAAAAGAAAACAATTCACATTGTGCATGTTGAAGACTTAAAAAAAAAAAAAAAAAAGGAAAAATCAAGCTGTAAGAATTGATTCCAGCTCTTGTCCTGATTTTTAGGCTCTTCTTGCTTCTTTACATGTGTTTATCACTGTGACACTGATAAGGGCCAGAAAGCCTAGGAAAGCTTTGTGGACACTTTTTTTTTTTTGAGACACAGTCACATACAGGCTGGAGTGCAGTGGCACAATCTTGGCTCACTACAGCCTCTGCCTTCTCAGTCCAAGTGACTCCCCTGCCTCAGCCTCCCAAGCAACTGAGATTACAGGCATCTGCCACCACACCCAGGTAATTTTGGTTTTTTTAGTAGAGACAGGGTTTTGCCATGTTGGCCTGACTGATCTGAACTCCTGACCTCAAATGATCCTCCCACCTCGGCCTCCTGAAGTGCTGGGCATGAGTCACCACACCCAGCAATTTTTCTTCAACTTCTGAACATACAGCAGCTTTCAAATGTGAAGGCCGGGCACGGTGGCTTATGCCTCTAATTCTAGCACTTTGTAAGGCCAAGGTGGGAGGATCACTTCTGCCCAGGAGTTCGAGCCTGGAAAACATAGTGAAACCCTGTCTTTACTTTAAAACAAAAAATTAGCCAGTCTTGGTGGCACACGCCTATTGTTCTAGCTACTCAGGAGGCTGAGGTGGGAGGATCCCTTGAGCTCAGGAAGTTGAGGCTGTGGTAGGCCAAGATCACACCACTGCACTCCAGCCTGGACAACGGGAATGAGACCCTGTCTCCAAAAAAAAAAAGGCCGGGGGCGGTGGCTCACGCCTGTAGTCCCAGCTACTCGGGAGGCTGAGGCAGGAGAGTTGCTTGAACCCAGGAGGCGGAGGTTGCAATGAGCCAAGATCGCCCCACTCCACTCCAGCCTGGCAACAGAGCCAGACTCCGTCTCAAAAAAAAAAAAAAAACGCTGGGTGCGGTGGCTCACACCTGTAATCCCAGCACTTTTGAAGGCCAAGGCGAGACCAGCCTGCAGCCTGGCCAACATGGTGAAACCTCTTCTCTACTTAAAATACAAAAATTTAACTGGGTGTAGTAGCGCACGCCTATAGTCCCAGCTACTCAGGAGGCTGAGGCAGGAGAATTGCTGAAATCTGGGAAGAGGAGGTTGCTGTGAGCCGAGATCACCCCCACTGCACTCCAGCCTGGGTGACAAAGCAAGACTCCATCTCAAAAAACAAAAACAAGAAGTTAACACTCAAAGGCAAGCGATGGGGTCTGTTTCACTATTCGATGGTTCATTTGTGTTGCTGCTGAACCAGTAAGGAATGACAACAAATCCGGGAAGCTGACCCGGGCAGGCATCCAAAGAATATACACTCTACCCTCTGGCCCTGCTAAGCTCAGCTATTGGTCCCGTCTTCTGTCCAGACGCCCCTGGCCATCATGTGTAGTGTGTCTAGGTAGCCTCTGGAACACAGCCTTCTTAGTCTGCGGATTCCTGTTCTGCATCAGGATGACATGTTTGTTAGTCATCACCTGGTTTTAAAGAACTGATGTGCTCACTGTGTTACCAAAACTGTTTTTTTTTTGAGGCAAGGGACTCACTCTGCAGCCCAGGGTGGTGTGCAATGGTGTGATCTCTGCTCACTGCAACCCCAGCCTCCTGGGTTCAAGCAACTCTCATGCCTCAGCCTCTTGAGGAGCTGGGATTACAGACGCACACCACCACACCTGGCTAATTTTGGTATTTTTAGTAGAGACGGGGTTTTGCCATGTTGGCCAGGCTGGTCTCCAACTCTTGGCCTCAGGTGATCTGCCTGCCTCGACCTCCCAAAGTGCTGGGATTATAGGTGTCAGCCACTGCACGTGGCCCAAGACGACAATTATGATTACGGAACATGACAGTAGGAACTTCCTGAGGCACAGGACTTGCAAAGGCAGTGACACATTTTTATATAAATTAACTTTTATTTCTATAACATATAAAAGGTATAAATAGGACTTATGTAAAAACCAATCACCTGCACACACAAATTATGTGAAATTAGTTTATATATCTCTTTAAACCAGAGGGAGGAGGAGGAAGCAGGATGAGGTCCACCTGGCCCACCATAAGTCCTTCCCCAGATGCTGTCGTGTATTAATAGCTTCTGCGGTCAACCAGGGTAATCTGCCAGGCAGTGCCTCAGGATGGGGTGGGGGGTGGTGGTGATGAGGTGTGAGGCTTCTGGGCACGGCTGTGAGGGAGGCACTTGGTGGGAAACATGCCTGAGATGTCAACAGTCTCGTCCTCACCCAGAAGGTGGGACTTGTCGCGGGGGAAAAGCCAAGGGTCCCGCAGCTCCCAGCTGGCTCTCCTTCACGTGCTTATCTGATGTGGTGCAGGAACAACAGGCAGGGGTGAGCGGTTTGTCCACAGAAGGGAAGTCTGAGGGAGCAGCCGCCATGGACGTCCCACCCAGTGCTGGCAGTTCTGTGCACAAGCGATGCAGCTCCGCGGTGCTGACAGTGGAGCTCACAGAGCTCCCGTATTCTCAAGGTTTGGATACATTCTGGGAGGGATGAACTGGTGTAAGAGTCACATAATACGTGGAGGGGTGTAATAATCCAAAAATGTAGCAAAATACCTTCTATGCCTATGAACCTGGGTTGGGGGAGCCGCAAACAAAGTCCAAAGCTCTGCCACACGGGCCAGCAGTGCTCATGTCTGCTGGCTGGTCCTCCCCAAAGCCTCTCCTGCCACCTTTTTTTTTTTTTTAAACTAAACTAAATGGTCAATACTGCTATCTCTCTTGATAACGACAAAATGTTTGCACCAGATGCCTGCAGTTGTGTGTCGCTCCACACTAATGGATCCGTAGTGATACAGCTGTGGGAGGCACTCCTGGGTTGAAAATGAAGGCAATTATCAAATCACTGTCAGTCTTGACTGAGTCACCTCTAGAGTTTATGCTTTCGGCCTTAATTGAAATGAAGACAATTATATACAATTCTCACATAATTGATCACAAATGCGATCATAGCCACTCTGACTAAGATTGGTGCTGGCCAATCTGCTGTGAGGGAATGAAGAGAGGAGAGGAACTGCGATGTCAGTCCCTGATTCTACTGCAAGTTTCTAAGCACAGGAAATCCCACTCTAGCTTCAGGAGACGATACGTGACAAGAACATGACTGTGCTTTAAATCATCTCTCAACCATGCTAAGTTGTGATCCCTCACCAAGTCTATGAAACCTGGAAAAGGAGTAGAGTGCACGGGGTGTGTGTGTGTTTTATAAATTCAGGGATCATTCCAAAAGGGGTAAACTATTGCTTTCCGTGTGTGTGTTTTATAAATTCAGGGATCATTCCAAAAGGGGCAAACTATTGCTTTCCGTGTGTGTGTTTTATAAATTCAGGGATCATTCCAAAAGGGGCAAACTATTGCTTTTCGTGTGTGTGTTTTATAAATTCAGGGATCATTCCAAAAGGGGCAAACTATTGCTCTTCAAGTCCTGGGGCAGGGAGGGGAAGAGGAGGCCACTGTCCGCTCCTGAAAGCTCTGTGGGGAGAAAGGCCCCCTGCCTGATTGTTCTGTCATTCACATGCCAGCTTACTGTCAAAGCTAGAAAGACCGATGCCAAAGGCCTGAACTGCGCAAAGTGGGTAGTTGTAGTCCAGCGTGAACACGTCATCTGCTACACGTCCAAACTGCATGACTATATAGTCAGCTAGAAACACAAGGAAATCAAGATGTTAGAATATAATGTGGTTGCACTAGGGGAAAACTTTTTTTTCTTCCTTTTCTGAGTTGGGGTTTTGCTCTGTCGCCCAGGCTGGAGCCTAGTGGAATGACCACAGCTCACTGCAGCCTTGACCTCCCATCCCAGGCTCAAGTGATCCTCCCACCTCAGCCTCTTGAGTAGCTGGGACTACAGGCAAGCACCACCATGCCTAGCTAGTATTTTACTTTTTGTGAAGATAGGGTCTCAGTGTGTTGCTCAAGCTGGTCTCAAACACCTAGGCCAAAGTGATTCTCCTGCCTCGGCCTCCCAAAGTGCTGGGATTACTGGCCCAGTGAAAACCTATTTATGATATAGAAAGAATCCTCCAAATAGGCCAGTTAATCACCAGGTTTCTGTAGAATAGAGAGCGGCTTGCTGGGAACGTCACAAGCTCCGTAGGCTAGAGGTGCCAGGAACCTTTATTGGGGTCATTTGCCTTTGTGTCCCAAACAACCTACTCGGTGACTTCTCTGATTTTTTTTTTTTTTTTTTTTGAGATGGAGTCTCGCTCTGTCGCCCAGGCTGGAGTCAGTGACGCAATCTCGGCTCACTGCAGCCTCGACCTCCTGGCTCAAGTGATGCTCCCACCTCAGCCTCCCAGGTAGCTTGGACTACAAGTGCCTGCCACCAGGCCCAGCTAATTTTTTCTATTTTTTGTAGAGATGGGGTTTCACACCATGTTGCCCAGGCTAGTCTTAAGCTCCTGGTCTCAAGCGATCTGCCCACCTCAGCCTCACAAAGTGCTGAGATTACAGACGTGAGCCATGATGCCCAGCCAACTTTTCTGATTTGCTATAGCATCTCTCTCACACTCCTCCCCCCTCCTCAACACAGTGATTCACAAGTTTTCTCCAAAACTGTAGTTTCCTCTTTCCAAAGAAATCCTTTCTCTCCTCCATGATTATCTCCTGACTATCATTTCCTATTGCGTACAGGGAATGTGCATTTCCCATCCTGTAAGAGCGTCTATCCTCCTCTTCCTACCCAACCCTTCCCGGAGGCTTACGGTCATTTTTGTGGACTATCTGGAAGTTCTTCACTGATGCCTGAGTGACCCGGCCACGAAAGTTGAGGACATAGGACTGAGTGTCACTGTTCCAGACGGGGGCCTTGTTGTGCAGTTCAATCAGATTTTCCATAGTTTTGTTCTGCCACCTTGAGAGCAAACTGTCATGGTTCTGTCCAAAGGGAAAATCATTACTTTGTAACTGACAACCCTACAACTCCACGAGATAGAAGGTAGAGGAGGAGAATCCTTTCTCCATTTCAGAAAGGGTAAACCAGAAGCAAAGAATGAAAGCCAACAATGAAGACAGGTTTTTAAAATTATTCTACATTCTCCAGCATTTCTCTTTGAAGAAAACATGGTTTCAAGGCAATGACTCTGCAACTGCTCTTATCCTGAGGTTCTGGAGGGCAGCTCTCCTGAAGAAGGGTATGGAGCCATGCTCCAGTGTGGGGCTCTGGAAGTTCAATTTTTTTTTTTTTTTTTTTTTTGGTATTAACCTCTCTGTATTGTACTACTGTCTTTTAGAGTCTTTTGCTGATTTGAATATGTTCTTACTCACGTTTCGTGGCTGATATGGGATCTGCTTATGATTCAGTGTCATTCCAGGAATGATCACAGACATTTTCCTAGGACCTTTAAACCCAAGTACGTTCGTCTCCTGGAAGATAGGAAAACAAGGCAGAACTTGGAAACAGGAGAAAAATAGAGACCACATTCTTTTATAACATGAGACTTTCTTGGGAACGTTAAGATGCTTACAATATCAGGTGTACCGGGCAGGGGTGGTGGCTCACGCCTGTATCCCAGAACTTTGGGAGGCTGAGGTGGGCAGATCACCTGAGGTCAGGAGTTCCAGACCAGCCTGGCCAACATGGTGAAACCCTGTCTCTACTAAAAATACAAAAACTAGCCAGGCATGGTGGCGAGTGCCTGTAGTCCCAGCTACTAAGGAGGCTGAGGCAGGAGAATTGCTTGAACCCAGGAGGCAGAGGCTGCAGTGAGCCGAGATCGCATCATTGCACTCCAGTCTGGGCAACAAGAGTGAGACTCTGCCCAAAAAATAAATAAATAAAAAATATAATAAATCATGTGTACCAAAAATAATTTTATTACTTTGCTATAAACAGAGAGTCAAAAACAGGAAAGTAATATATCTCTTTATATATATAAAAATATATACAAATATATATATTATATATAAAAAATATACAAATATATATAAATATAACTCTTTTTGTTGTTGTTGTTTTGTTTTCTGAGACAGCGTCTTGCTCTGTCGCCCAGGCTGGAGTGCAGTGGCGCAATCCCGACTCACTGCAAGCTCTGTCTCCTGGGTTCATGCCATTCTCCTGCCTCAGCCTCCCGAGTAGATGGGACTACAGGCACCCGCCAGCACGCCCAGCTAATTTTGTATTTTTTTTTTTTTTAAGTCGAGACAGGGTTTCTCCATGTTGGTCAGGCTGGTCTCCAGTTCCCGACCTCAGGTGATCCGCCCATCTCAGCCTCCCAAAGTGCTGTGATTACAGGAGTGAGCCACCACGCCCGGCCTCTTACTCTCGAGTCTTAAATGAGATTTGAGGTAACTGTGAACAAACTGCCCAACTTTGTCAGCACCAACACATATTTATTTCCCAGTGAGGGCATGGCACTAGATTACATACAGTGAGAATGAGTTGTGGTTAAATAAGGCCCGCACTAGATGTTAAAAATGCCTGTCAAGCCAAGCAGATTATTCTTATTTTATTTTGAGACGGAGTCTTGCTCTGTCACCCAGGCTGGAGTGCAACCTCTGCCTCTTGGGTTCAAGCGATTCTCCTGCCTCAGCCTCTTGAGTAGCTGGGATTACAGGTACCTGCCACCACGCCTGGCTAATTTTTTTATATTTTTAGTAGAGACGGGGTTTCGCCATGTTGGCCAGGCTGGTCTCGACCTCCTGACTTCAGGTGATCCACGCGCATCAGCCTCCTGAAGCGTTGGGATTACAGGCATGAGACACCGTGCCTGGCCGATTATTATTATTTTTAAAATAGGATCTCATGCTGTCGCCCAGGCTGGAGTGCATGGCGTGATCACAGCTCACTGCAGCCTCGACCCTCCTAAGACTCAGGTGATCCTCTTGCCTCAGCGCCTCCAGTAGCTGGGACTCCAGCGACTGCCACCACGCCCAGCTAGTTTTTGTATTTTTAGTAGAGACAGGGTTTCACCATGTTGCCTAGGCTGGTCTCTCCTGGGCTCAAGTGATCTGCCCGCCTCAGCCTCCCAAAGTGCTGGGATTACAGGTGTGAGCCATCAAGTTCAGCCAAGCTAAGCAGATTATGTATGAAAGCTATAGAGGAAAGACACTTTACATCAAAGTGTTGAAGTCAAATGGTTCTCAGGCATGTAGATAAGATCTCATGGGATTAACTTCAACTTAAAAAAGTTGAGACTTTGGAATAAAAAAACGCTGAGATGGGTCAGTTCCTTCTTGCTTTCTCTTACTCAACAACTCTTTGAATACCTACTGTGTGCCAGGCCATGTGCTGGTATGGATATAGCCATGAGTCAGAGTTCACAAGAATTTACAAACTGGTGGAGACGGTTCATGTTGAACAAATAACAACAAGTACATGTGGGTTACAAATGCCACAAGGACACAGACAAAGGAATGTCAACCACATCTAGTGGAGTACATCAGAAAAGACTTTGATAAGGCAAAAGGCAAGAAAGAGGAAAAGGGAAGCCTCTCCAAGGAGGAAAGAGGAGCGTGGTTGGACAAAGGAACGACAGGAGGGCTGCTTCGCTAGAATGATGGGAAGCGGGGGTGAGCCAGCAGAGGAGTCTGAAAGCAAATGCTGCCATGTTAGATCTTCCACAATGGGTAGTCACTAAAAGGTCTGAAGCAGCACAGGAGGCTCAACTAGAGCCTTGTTTTAGGAAGATTCATTTGGTAGCAGTAGAGAATGAGCTAGATAGTTCTCAGGTCTTTCCTGGGTGTGAAATAAAATGAAAAAGTACAATAAAACAAATAATAATATGAAATTTAAAAAGTGAACTATAAATGCCAAAAAGAGGAAAAAAATAAGAAAAAGATTAAAAAGAGAATAAAGAGAATGAACTAGATAGGAAAAGATTAAAAGCAAAAAAAGATCAGCTTTAATTTATTGTAACCTTTGGCCACTGGATAAGAAGTAAAGGTCTGAACTAAGTGGCAGCAGGAAAAAAGAAGAGGAAATAAGGGAAGAAATATTCTGAGAGTGAAAAATAATTGAACTTGGCAATTCAAATAACTAAAACTCAAATACATGGAGAAAGTGGTACAGCAACAGAAATCAGAAATAGAAACAAGCTTGGGAGGGGAGGTTCTTTGGCGACACTAGGTGAAAAGTGCCAGCAGGACGTCAGGAGGGCAGGAAGTGGGCCTTGGGAAAGCAGCACTCACATAGGAGATGGCGGCCAGCTCCTGCCGGGCGTGGGCCGCTCCTACCAGACCCCGGCCCTTGATGGGGCAGATACCACGGTCGTAAACGGTAAACTTGGTCCCCATGAGGTTGGATCTGGAGTCAGGAGAAAAAGTCACCAAGATGATCTGTAATTTTTTTTCTTATACAAACACAATCTAAGAGAAGGAAAATGGAAGCCTATTTTCCAAATGTCTAAATGTTCATCACTTTTTCAAAAATATCTCATTAAAGCAAGGAAGGAACTGAGATTTTCTTTTAACTTTTTATTTACTTGTTCATTCATCTGAGACAGGTTCTCGCTCTGTCACCCAGCTGGAGTGCAGTGGCAGGGATCATAGCTCACTGCAGCCTCAAACTCCCAGGCTCAAGCCATCCTCCCACCTTAACCTCCTGGGTAGCTGGGGCTATAGGCGAGCACTGCCACGCCTGGCTAATTTTAAAAATTTTTGAAGAGATGTCTCAATGTGTTGCCCAGACTGGTCTCAAACTCCTGGCCTCAAGTGATCCTCCAACCTCAGCCTCCACAAATGCTGGGATTACAGGCCTAAGCAACCACACCACACTTATTTTTTTATTTTTCTGAGACAGACTCTCATTCTGTTACCCAGGTTGGGGTGCAGTGGTGCTGTCTTGGCTCATGGCAACCTCTGCCTCCTGGGTTCAAGCAATTCTCGTGCTTCAGCCTCCTGGGTAGCTGGAATTATAGGTACGCGCTACCACACCCGGCTGATTTTCGTATTTTTAGTAGAGAAGGGGTTTCTGCCATGTTGGCCAGGCTGGACTCTAACTCCTAACCTCCAGTGATCCACCCGCCTTGGCCTCTCAAAGTGCTGGGATTACAGGTGTGAGCCACTGTACCCAGCCTTTTTTTTTTTCTTTTCTTTTTTTCTTTTTTTTTTTTTTAAGATTACAACATCAATACATGCTAGTTGTAACCAAGATATGAACTGTTCTGCAACTATAGGAATAAGACTATCAGAAAGAATAGGACAGGGATCTAAGGTTGCTTTCACCTAAGCTTGCCGACATAACTTTCTCCTTCACGAGATAAATCAACTGGATCAATGGAGATGAGGTAGTTGGCTGTTTTGCTCTTTTTCCGCTTTCTAGCTGCAAGAAGAAATATCTGGGAAAAGAAAAAGTGTCAGTCAAAAATGAAGTCGAGAGAACCCACCTCGCCCCTGGGGCCATGGCTGTCCTACCTATTCATTCAGCCAGTGTTCAGCAAGTCCCCAGCATATGTCTAAGCTGTTAATCTTTGGGTCTTCATCCCTTTTTCTAACTCTCTTATCAGAATTCACTATCAGGCTGGGTGCAGTGGCTCACCCCTGTAATCCCAGCACTTTGGGAGGCTGAGGTGGGCGGATCACAGGGTCAGGAGATCGAGACCATCCTGGCTAACCCAGTGAAACCCTGTCTCTACTAAAAATACAAAAAATTAGCCGGGCGTGGTGGCGGGAGCCTGTAGTCCCAGCTACTCGGGAGGCTAAGGCAGGAGAATGGCGTGAACCCAGGAGGCGGAGCTTGCAGTGAGCCCAGATCGTGCCACTGCACTCCAGCCTGGGCGACAGAGTGAGATTCTGTCTCAAAAAAAAAAAAAATTCACTAACAGGGTTTTCTTCCTGTACGGTTTTTCTAAATTCACTAGCTTGAGTCTCCATATAATTAGTTACAACTTCATCCCTAAAAACTTCCAGTTAAAAAAAAAAATCTCCAAAGCTGGGCCAGGTGGCATGAGCCTATAATCCCAGCTGCTTGGGAGGCTGAGGTAGAGGGATCACTGGAGTCCAGGAGTTCAAGGCCAGCCTGGGCAACCCTGCAGAATCCAATAAATAAATAACAATCAATGTTCATCCAATGCCATGATTAAGAGTCTTTCCAACTTTAGGAGAGACAGGATCCTGAATACCTTCCCATTCTTTACTGTGATGGCTTTCTTTCTTTCTTTTTTCTTTTTTTTTTTTTTTTTTTGAGGCAGGGTCTCACTCTGTCACCCAGGCTACAGTGCAGTGGCACAATCACAGCTCATTGCAACCCCTGCCTCCCAGGTTCAAGTGATTTTCCTGCCTCAGCCTCCCAAGTAGCTGGAACTACAGGTGCATGCCACCACTCCTGGCTAATTTTTTTATTTTTTGCTAGAGACAGGGTCTCCCCATGTTGGCCAAGCTGGTTTCGAGCTCCTGTCCTCAAGGGATCCACCCGCCTCAGCCTCCCAAAGTGCTGGGATTATAGGCGTGAGCCACTGCACCTGGCCTGTGATAGCTTTCTTAATGCCATGGGGACACAGACAAAGGAATGTCAACCACACCTGGTGGAGCACATCAGGAAAGACTTTGATTAGGCAAATGGGGCAAGAAGGGGCAAAAGGAAGGCTCTCCAGGGAGGAGAATACTCTTTTTTTTTTTTTGAGATGGAGTCTCGCTCTGTGCCCAGGGGCTGGGTTCAGTGGCTGGAGCTCAGCTCACTGCAAGCTCCGCCCTCCTGAGTTTACGCCATTTTCCTTCCTCAGCCTCCCGAGTAGTGGGACTACAGGTGCCGCCACCTCGCCTGACTAGTTTTTTTTTGTATTTTTAGTAGAGACGGGGTTTCACCGTATTAGCCAGGATGGTCTCGATCTCCTGACCTCGTGATCCGCCCGTCTCGGCCTCCCAAAGTGCTTGAGCCACCGCGCCCGGCCTGCTGTTGTTTTAAACCACTGTGACTTCAATGGCATGAATACCATCCTATGCAGGCATCCTTCCTAAACTCTACTAGACTAGGACCGTAATAGGGAAGCAGGAGAGTGGCAGTGGCTAAGCAGGAAGACTTTAGAATTATGCAGAAACAGGTTTGAATTTGGCTCTGCCATCACTTACTGCAATTTGGGGTAGGTAAGTCACTCCCTAAGCCCCAGTTAGTTACCTCATCTTTAAAACAGAGATGAGAAATCCTACCTAACAAGGTGGCTACAAGGATTACAGGTGATAATACATATAAACATATATGCATATGGTTGGTCTGTTGTAAACACTCAATAAATGGTGGTTAGAACAATTAATACCTACTATCATTATCTCATTTCTAGGCTCTTAAAAGCATCTGTTAAGACCTGGTATTAATACAAAATTACTAAAATAAAGTTCATCGGCACATATTAAATTGGCTCAAATTTATAAAAGAAATTAGAATTTCTAGGGTGAGAAACAAGACATTTAACTTGTATGTCCTTCGTATTTCTAATTCATCCTATTCCCCAAAACTCGCTCTCCTTCCACAATGTCATGTTTTATCATTAAAAAAAAAAAAAAAAGAACAGTAGCATCCAAAAACTAAATCATGGGAGACAGGTGAAAACTTACATTACAAAATACCTGTAAAATTACATTAAGAAATACCTGCCCATTTTCCCACATTGTGGATCAAGCTCTTATTTGTGGGAGGGTAGAGCTTGCTGCCTATTAGACCATGAGCTCTTTGCAGAAAAGGAGAACACAGCATCTGGGGACTGAAAGATACAATCTACTTCTAGCTGGCCTGGTCTAATACCAGAGTTAGTTCCCTAAGGGACTGAAAGATACAATCCACTTCTAGCTGGCTTGGTCTAATACCAGAGTTAGCTCCCTAAGGCCCATCAACAATCTATTCCCACAACATTCTTCTCTCTCTCAAGAGTTTTCTTAGAAATCAATTCTCATACCTTCTGATTTTCTTCTTTTTCCAAGTACATATAGTAGGTGGGGAAGAGGCCCCGATCCATTCCCTTTTTATCCCGGATTATCCGACATCTTACTGTGACACCTTGAGGGGCAGGACTATACACAAAGTCCTCCAGGTCGTCTGTGTCTCCCAGGAGGTTATCAGCTGGTGGGGCTGCAGTAGCAGAACAGGAAGTGCCTGTATCCTGAAAGGACAGCCATACATGAGCAACAAGAGGCCAGGACTCAAAATCTGATTCTCTTTGAGAAGCACTTAGTGGACAAAGCAACTTAGAAATTTACCCCTGTGTCTTCAGTCTTCTGACAGAATAAGGAAAACTGAAAAGTTAAATAAGGATATGAATATTAAGAGTAATGAAGAGCTAAGTATGCAAATGGGACAAAGCCTCACAATAGCTGACCTGAGATAGAAAAAATTAGATCATAAGCTAAATTTGAGCTTAAACTTCTGAAGGAACCCTCATTCACTAATGGTATTTAAATACTGAAGATATGTTTGAGGGCTGGGAACGGTGGCTCACACCTGTAATCCCAGCACTTTGGGAGGCTGAGGCGGGTGGATCACAAGCTCAGGAGATCGAGACCATCCTGGCTAACACGGTGAAACCCCGTCTCTACTAAAAATACAAAAAATTAGCCGGGCGTGGTGGCGGCGCCTGTAGTCCCAGCTACTCAGGAGGCTGAGGCAGGAGAATGGCGTGAACCCGGGAGGCGGAGCTTGCAGTGAGCCGAGATCATGCCACAGCACTTCCAGCCTGGGTGACAGAGTGAGACTCTGTCTCAAAAATAAATAAATAAATACATACATACACACACACATACTGAAGATATGTTTGAGAAAGAGTCAAGTTAGCTCTAACAGAAGAAGTTTCAGAACTACATACAGTTGAATTCTGGCTGGATGCAGAATTTGGTCTTTCTAAACATGCTGACTGGGATCTTCCATCAGTCTCCTCATCGAAGTTCACACTTTCAGAGATATCTAGCAGAAAAGGAAGAACTGTTAGCACTGCCAACACTGGTTTAAAAAAGGTCTTTGAAACAAAGATAGTTTTAATTTTTTTTGCTTAAAACCTTCCTAACTATTGTGACCCTAAACACAACTATTTTGTCCAAATACATAAAACAGGCAAATTCATAGAGACAGAAAGTAGAATAGAGGTTACTAGGGGCTGGGGGCAGGGGAGAATGAGGAATTATCTTGAATGGGTGTGAAGTCTCAGGGATGATGAAAAAGTTCTGGAGATGGATGGTAGTGGTGGTTGCACAACATTGCTAATGTACTTAATGTCACTGAATCTCACACTTTAAAATGATTAAACTTGTAAATTTTAGTCAGGGCAGACTGGGTACGGTGGCTCACACCTGTAATCCCAGCACTTTGGGAGGCTGAGGTGGGCAGATGACGAGGTCAGGAGATTGAGACCATCCAGCTAACATGGTGAAGCCCCGTCTCGAAGCAATACCAAAGAAGAATTAGCGGTGGGCGCTATGGTGTGTAGTCTCCAGCTACTCGGATCGGAGGGCTTGAGCAGGAGAATCGCTTGAACCTAGGGAGGGCAGAGCTGCCTATGTTGAGCCGAGCCGCCCACTGCACTCCCGCCTGGGCAACAGAGTGAAGACTTCGCTCAAAAAAGAGAAAACAAAAACAAAGTTTAAGCAAGGTGGCACAGTGCGTCACGCCGGTTGTCATCTGAGGGCACTTTGGGCACTGGGTGAGAGGCAGTAAAGGACGCTTGAGGGGCCACGTAGAGTTGGTAAGGATCTGGTCTCCTATTAAAAAGTTTTTTAATAAAAAAAATTAGCCATGCTAGATGTGTACCTATTTCCGTAATCCTAGCTTTAGGCTAGAGGGGGGTGGGTAGATCACTTCAAGCCCAGTATTGTGGTGGGCTAAAGGGAGCTATTGCTTGTGCCCCCCACGGCCCCAGGCCTAGGCGAAGGACGTGGGACACCTGACCTTTTAAAAGGAATATAGGAAAAAGACGGTTACTTTTTGTGTTATTCTGGGAAGGGCGTAAGGGGAAGAGCTTCAGTAAAAACGAGGAAAAACGTTTGCTAGACATTCTTAAAAAGAGCTGTAGCACTAATATAATTATTATTATTATATTATTATTAAGGATGGAGTCCTCGCGTCTGTCGTAATGCTGGAGTGGCATGGCACGATTCTCGGCTCACTGCAAGAGCCTCCATTCTCCGGTTCGAAAGCGATTTCTCTTGTCTCCAGGCCTTCCCCGGGTTAGGCTTGGATTACAGGTGTTTTGCACCACCAAGCCCAGCTAATTTTTTTGTATTTTTAGTAGAGATGGGGTTTCACCATGTTGGCCAGGCTGGTCTCAAACTCCTGACCTCAGGTGATCTGCCCGCCTCGGCCTCCCAAAGTGTTGAGATAATAGGTGCAAGCCACCATGCCAGGCCAACACTGGTAACTTTTATGTTACGATGCATGTTTTACCACAATTAAAAAAAAATCCAATGATGCATTGTTCTCTACAGCAGTTTTATTCCCCCCAGCATTTTCTTTTCTATTTTTTTCTGAGATGGAGTTTTGCTCTCGTTGCCCAGGCTGGAGTGCAATGGCGCAATCTCAGCTCACCGCAACCTCCGCCTCCTGGGTTCAAGCGATTTTCCTGCCTCAGCCTTTTGAGTAGCTGGGATTACAGGCACCCGCCACCACATCTGGCTAATTTTGTATTTGTAGTAGAGACAGGGTTTCTCCATGTTGGTCAGGCTGGCCTCGAACTCCCAACCTCAGCCTCAGCCTCCCAAGTAGCTGGAGTTACAGGTGCCCGCCATCACACCCGGCTAATTTTTTTTGTATTTTTAGTGGAGACGGGGTTTCACCATGTTGGCCAGGCTGGTCTCGAACTCCTGACGTCAGGTGATCTGCCCGCCTCTGCCTCCCAAAGTGCTGGGATTACAGGCGTAAGCCACCGTGCCTGGCCTATTGTGTACTTGAAATGGATGAGGTGTATGGTCTGTAATTTATATCTCAAAAGAGCTGTTACTTAAAAAAATTATTTGCTTTGCAAAGGACATTTTTTCCTTCTGCTCTCTAAAATATTAACTTATTATTATTATTTTTCGAGACAGGGTTTCACTCTGCTGCCCAGGTGGGAGTGCAGTGGCCAAATCACAGCCACTCACTGCAGCCTCAACTTCCTGGGCTCACGTGATCCTCCCACCTCAGCCTCCTGAGTACCTGGGACTACACCATGTCCAGGTAATTTTCTGTAGAGATGGGGTTTCACCAAGTTGCCCAGACTGATCTCAAACTCTTGGGCTCAAGCGATCTGCCCACCTCAGCTTCCCAAAGTGCTGAGATTACAGGCATGAGCCACCACACCTAGTATCTTCCCTTTTTATTGGTAGCAAAAAGGCAGAAAACTCCTGAGATACCACTATCGTATGGATATCTTCACCTATTACTATGTTTTCAAATGCCATTTTTATTCCAAGAACTCAGTTCACATGAATCTGTCTTGAGAGATCAAAGATCTCTCTGAAACTTTCAAGACAAGCAAATTGGACCCACTTATAGGGACATAATCTGCCAAACTGACACTTCTTAGAATTCAATCAAAACAGCACTTAATGGGTTTTATAGTCAGGATGCAACCTGTTGAGACATGAAAAGGCATTAATTCATCTGGCACTGAAAGGCCAGTTCTGAGAAAGAACACAGCCACTTCACAGAGCAGTGCAAAAGCAGACAATGTGGTATTTACAGTCAGGGATAAAGAACTAGACTAAGAATCAGAAAATCTAAATCTGCCACTTTTCAGCTAGTTGACTCAAGGTAAGTAATTTAGCTTTGGTTAAATAGAAAATCGTTTTTGCTCTGACTCATTCTATCTGTCCAACCCACATCTTTTACTTTCTTTTGTTGTAAAAATAGTGGTAGTAAAATAATAGGAAAGTACCATGGTCACCTTCATGTTAAAGACAGGAGAACTGAGGCAGAGAAAAGTGAAGTTGTATGCTCTTCTTCCCAGCCAGAAGTGGCAGAATAGAAATTCAAAACCAAGCAAGCTGGCCCAAGAGCTGTGCTCAAATCCATGTCACCAAATTGCCTTTCCTACACCATGCACTCTGGTCACCTGGCCCCGTTTGCACAGACATCTCATGTTTTTACACCTAGTCTTTGCTCATGCGATTTCTTCTGCCCAAGTTTGCTTCCTAACTAGCAGTATGATCTATGACACATTACTTAGCCACTCAAAGAACTTTTCTTTTTTGAGATGGAGTCTTGCTCTGTCGCCAGGCTGGAATGCAGTGGCGCAATCTCTGCTCACTGCTACCTCTGACTCCCTGGTTCAAGCGATTCTCTTGCCTCAGCCTCCTGAGTAGCTGGGATTACAGGCATGTGCCACCATGCCCAGCTAATTTTTGTATTTTTAGTAGAGACAGGGTTTCACCATGTTGGCCAGGGTGGTCTCGATCTCCTGACCTCGTGATCCACCTGTCTTGGCCTCCTTTTTTTTTTTTTTTGAGACGGAGTCTCGCTCTGTCACCCAGGCTGGAGTGCAGTGGCGCAATCTCAGCTCACTGCAAGCTCCGCCTCCCGGGTTCACGCCATTCTCCTGCCTCAGCCTCCCAAGTAGCTGGGACTACAGGGCCCCACCACCATGCCCAGCTAAATTTTTGTATTTTTAGTAGAGACGGGGTTTCACTGTGTTAGCCAGGATGGTCTCGATCTCCTGACCTCGTGATCTGCCCACCTAGGTCTCCCAAAGTGCTGGGATTACAGGCATAAGCCACAGCACCCAGCCCTATCTTTTTTTTAAATTAATTTTTATTTATTTTTTTTTTGAGACAGGGTCTCACTCTACACACAGGCAGCAACACTGTAATCCTGGCTCACTGTAGTCTCAAACTCTGAGGCTCAAGCAATCCTCCCACCTCAGTCTCCCAAAGTGCTGGGGTTATAAGCATGAGCCGCTCCGCCCAACCCAATTTTTTTTTTTTTTAATTTTTAGAGACATGGTTTCATTCTGTCACCCAGGCTGGAGTGCTGTGGCATGATCATAGCTCACTGCATCCTCAATCAGCTGGGCTCGAGCAATCCTCCCAGCACAATCTCTTAAGTAGCTGCAACTACCATCACACCCAGCTAATTAAAAAAAATTTTTTCTTAGACACTGGGTCTTGCTATGTTGCCCTGGCTGGTCCTGAACACCTAACTTCAAGCAATCCTCCCACCTCAGCCTCTTTAAGTGCTGGGATTACAGGTATGAGCCACCAGGCCCAGCCTTCCATTACTCCCTAAAGTCCCAATTCCTGATGTGGTCTATTAGGTCCCACGTAATTAGAGCCTACCTCCCTGTCCTGGCTCACCTCTCTACATCCCCCTTCCTACTCTATGACCACAAGCCCTGAGCTGCTGCCATTATGAACTGGCCAGCGCCTCTTCCTGAATCAGGCACTAGCTCAAACATCACTTTTTCTGGGAAGGCTCCCAAGCCTCCAAGTGGAGTGAGGCGTCGGGCTCTCTCAGCACCTTGATTTTCTAGCTCTCGCCTATTTAAGTGCATGAAGCTTCGATTAGAATAAGCGCTCCATGAGGGCAACAACCATGCTTACTCACGTATCCTAAGTACCTAGAATGTTGCCTGAGATATGGTATGTACTCAAAACATATTTTCTTACTTTTCTTTTTTTTTTTTTGGTTGAGATAGGGTCCTGCTCTGTAACCAGGCTGAAGTACAGTGGCACAATCTCAAGCTCAGTGCAACCTCCGCTGCCCAGGCTCAAGCCATCCTCCTGCCTCAGCCCCCCAAGCAGCTGGGATTACAGGTGTGCACCACTGCACCCAGCCAATTTTTTTTTTTGTTTTTTTTTTGGCATTTTTGTAGAGACAACGTGACGGTGTATCATGTTGCCCGCAGCTGGGGTCGGTTGAACCCTGGACTCAAGGATTCTTGCCCCCCTCCCTTCCCAAGGAGGTTGTAGGATATAGGGCCATGAGCCACCATGCCTTGGATCTTCGAAAACATTACTTCTTTTCCTTTTCTTTTCGGAGAATTTTCACTCTGTGCCCAGCGGAGGCAATGGGCAATCTGGTTCACCTGGGGGCAAACCTCGCATCCAAAAGGGATCAAAGTGATTGTCTCCCTGCCCAGCCTTTGCCCGAGTACGCTGGATTACAGGCACCAACACAGGCCTGGCGAAAATTTTTGTTAAGTTTTTAGTAGAGACCGGGTTTTTCCACATGTGCTGGGTCTCAAACCTCTTGAGCCTCGGGATCCCACGCCACCTTGCCTTCCCAAAGGTGCTGGATACAGGCCGTTGAGCGACTGCCGGCCTGCACAACATACTTTTCGTAATAAAGGTGGAATTATGGACGAATTTTAACGTATTAATATAGCCATTTCGTGGCTAATAAGTCTCCGATTCATATATCCAGGACCTTAGCAATGTTTGCCTAATGCAAAGAAGTAGCCCAATAGGGATATTCCATTTATTGGGCTTCAGTTTTCGTCATTCTGAAAAGGATGCTTAATCTCCCCTTCTCATTATAAAATATTTTAAAGAAAGACTACAAGGGACCTATGGAAAGGTGTTATGGGAATATTAGTGGAAATGAGAGCCCAACTAGAAGAAAGGCTATTCAAGTCATCACCCAACTAGGAAACGGAGTGTGGAGTAGATGGCGAGTGACAACTCTCAGAAGGCAGACGGTGGCGGAACCGGAAAATAGTCAAATAGAGAAGAAACAGGGTCACTATGGTTAGCTCAGTAGTTAGATTATAAATCTCTTTTTTTCAGGCAGATAGGTTTATAAAACTACCAGCTTGAAATTACCCACATTCAGATTTAAAGAGCTTAAACTTCACCCCCGTGAGCCTGAAGCCGGGAAGGAATTTGGATCATGGATGTTAAAACCCCCACAAGAAAAAGAAAAGGAAGAATGACAAATGGATAAGAAGACAAATTGCCTTCTAAAACTGGCAGTCCTTCACATGCTCTGGGGGGAGACTCCCTTGGAGTCGCTGGGTTGGAAGCGGTGGCCCACGGCGTTTTTCGGGCAGCATTTGCAAAGAAGGGAGCGTACTGACGGGGGTAGTGCGGCGACCCTTATCTGGTTCAGGACAGCAGCGGGACCATCAATACCTAGGGTGACAGAAATAAAAGGAAGTTTTTGAAAAAGAGCAAAGGATTATTTTCACGATTTTAGGGTGTTGGATTTGGCATTTGATTCAGAATTAAAGAACTACCGAACTCACTTTATCTCCCCTCCTTTTCTTAACATCCATAAGAGACATGTGTTTAAGGGGGGGGAGAGGGAGTCAGAACTGTCTTATTCTGGAGGAAGATCTCACTCTGGTCGCCCCAGGCGGGGAGCACTGTGGGTGTAATCACAGCTCACCCTGAGCCTCGGAGCTGCCTACGGGTCTCAAACGATCCTTCCTCAAACTTTCTGCGCAGAAGCTCCACAGTAAGCTGGGATACCAGGTGTGCTACTACGCCTGGCCTAACTTTTTGAAATTTTTGAGGTTGATAGGGGGTTTTGTTAGTAGCCAGGCGCTGAGCCGAGCTTAGTTTTCATGACAATGCCGCGGTGCCTAAAAATTTTTCTTTTTTCTTGACGACCTGGTTCTCCCAACAGGTCTCAACTCGTTTGCCCAGGACGGCGGGAGATCAGAGCAGAGGCATTGAAGCGC